GTGCGCTGCTCCCCTCAGCTGTGTACTTCATCCATCTGCCTGTTCTGCTCCCCCGCTCTGTCTCTGGTGAATCCTACTCAGTTCTGTATGCATAAATAAATGAGAAAGGAAGGAAGGAAGGAACTTGAAGATAGGATGTTGCTGGAATTGCTTTTACAGTATACTTTTATTTTGAAATGAAATGTCTCAATTAACAATACTGATCTTTTTACTTTCAGGTAGTGATTAGTGATATTTTTCTTTTCAAATGTTTTAACTGTTGATTATTTTTGATGCAGATCAATACTGAGGAACATGTGGATGCATCTGATCAGGAGGTTATCTCTTGGGATCGTAAAATTCCTGAGGACATCCTAAAGGAAATTACCACCCCTAAAGAGGTACCAGCAGAGAGTGTTACTGTGTGGATCGATCCACTTGATGCTACACAGGAATATACCGGTAACTTGAAATTTAAAATTGATTTCAGACTTTAGATTGTCATTGTATATTTTAGAACCAAAATGAGAGTGATATGTACATGGTAGTAGGTATTTTTCCAATCCTAGATAACTTCTCCAGTTAGATTTTAAGATAGAGAACTGGGTTAAGGCAATATCTGAGCTAGATTAGATATCCTCAACCTTATTTCACCTCCAAGCTTCTGTATTAATGGCATTGTACTGTTAGTGATGGTGGCTCACTATTTCACTGATGCTCCAGTGAAGAGAAGATTTTAGAACAAAATGAATGTTGTCGGATACCTATATACTGAGGTGTTTATATAATGATTTATATATTAAGGTATATATTATTGAAGTATTTATTTATATAACCAAGCTACAGTATTTACTTGTGACATTGGAAGTTTAGGTTTTATTGCACATTTCTATCATTGAAGTTCCAAATAGTAAATCCCATTCACCCAGAGAATACTAAGAAACAAGACTGAATTACTGCAACCACCCTTTTTACCTAGTCCTAACTCAGATTTCATATCTGTGGCTTCTTTCTCATGCCTTGTTCTTAACAAAAATATCTAATTCCTGGTTTTTCTCTGTTCCTAACTCAGATTTCATATCTGTGGCTTCTTTCTCATGCCTTGTTCTTAACAAAAATATCTAATTCCTGGTTTTTCTCTGTTCTCTTGGTATATATATTAAGGTTGGTTAGTTATATATCTGTTCTCTTCCTATATTTTCTCTGAATATGGGAATGTCTGCTTTTTATTTTGTATTCCTGTGCAGAAGCATTGAATTTGACCTATAATATTCAATAGGTAACTGTTGGAGAACAGGGAGAACCATTTGTATATATTTAATAGTAACTAGAATTATTAAATAGTATTTTAAAGAAGCAGATAATAGAATACTGAGGGCTTTGTTTATAAAAAGCCTTCTCTAAACTACACTTGATCTGGTCTTTGAGTAGTGGTAATATTTAGAGAGCATATCCCTTGTGCAGGGACTATTCTAAGTATTTACAAATCAGTCCTAAAATTAAAAAATCATTTTAGTTTATACCTAATGCTGGTTACCTAATTGTCTAGCTCTTACAGAAAAGACAACTGAATTTAAGTAATTTACCAAAATGCACACAGTTTATAGAATAGTGGGCTGAGAGGATAACCCAGCTAATCTGTTTACAACATCAAATCTCAACTGCTCCTTAAACTAGTTATCATTGATTGTTAGACTATGGGGATTTTCATTTAAGAAAAACATTTCATGTACATAAATTCTAATGAAATTGTAAATAAAATTGCAATACCGTATATCCTAAATGTAGATGTTATTTTAACAGTTGTGTTTGGGTTTTTTTGTCCCCTCATAGAGGATCTTCGACAATATGTAACTACCATGGTGTGCGTGGCTGTATATGGTAAACCTGTGCTAGGAGTAATACATAAACCATTTTCTGAATATACAGGTAAGAAATAATGTTTTTCAAGGATTAGTATTATTGAATCATTTGTCTATAGTACTTACCAGTCTGTCAAAAATCTCAGCTGTGGCTGGGTAACTATTAAAGTCATTCCACTAACTTCCCTCATCCCTGAAAACAGTGAGGATCTTATTGGGGCTGATAATACATCACAGAGGATATCTTCAGAGGATAGAGAATGTCAAAGAGAAAGCTGCTTAGTGTATTCATTAATACAACTGGGCATGAATTCCCCAACAACTGAGGTTCTCTGTTTTCTTTTACTGTTGCTAGGGATAAGGTCCAGGGTTCTTATAACTTGATTTCAGTGTGGTTGTAGCCAAATTTGTTGTCCTACCAGGAATTGAGCTTGATACTGTGATAGTTAATGGTAGTGCCAACCTCAGCATCAACAGTGTATGCTGTCACTATGAAGTCTCAATAAACTCATTTGTGTGTTGGCCTTAGGCCTTTTAGAACTCTTTTAGACACTTGCTTCCTTATCATTTTTATATAGTAATATTCCTTAGTTTTCTACAGATGGTATGTTGGGAATGGGAATATGGAAGACCATGCCAAAGAGCTTTTCACACAGGAATAAGCTGGTTCAAAACCTTGCCAGTACTAGCAATATTGGTATGCTATTTTGGTATCACCACAGACATTTTCTGTAGCTTACCAGAGAGGTTAGCCATGGCCTTCTGAGCAGCAGACATGGTTATGAACTATAATCACAAGTCTATGATGACCCTGTGAGTTGTGAAGATAGAGTAGTTGAGGGAAACAGTGGTATAGGTGATATTGGTGACACTCACATGGGAATTGTCATCATTTTAATTGCTAACTCACTTCCCAACAAATTAGGGCCCTTTTAGTTCTTCTGTTTGCTAATATGAGATTCTTGATGACTATCCTATCCACTTTGTGAGTGTTAGAAAATAGCTCTAAGCACCACTATGTGTGGTGGGTTCAATAGTATGCTCTTCAAATTCATATCTATCCCCTCCATTAATTTCCTAGAGCTACCATTAAAATTGTATGTTTTTAGACATCAGATACAAAGTCTTTCAATTTTGAAGGTTAGAAGTCCAAAATCAAGAAATTGGCAGAACCATGTTCTCTCTGAAACCTGAATTGGAATCCTTTCATGTTTTTCTCTGGATTCTGGTTGTTTTCCAGCAGTTTATGGTGCTCTTGGCTGATAAGCACAGTATCTGCCTCCATCATTTATGGCATTCTGCCTTGTATCTCTGTGTCTCTTAAAAGGAAATCAGTGTTGAATTAATGTGACCCTATTCCATCATTAAATCAACTTGGCTAATTATATGTGCAATGGCCCTATTTCTAAATATAAGCAGATTATGGAGTACTGTGGATTGGGGCTTTTGGAGGGAACATGTTTCAACCCATAACAGCACAGAAGCTCAGAATGTGATCTTTGCATTTGTAATTGAAGTTAAGTACAAGATGAGGTCGTCCTGTACTGAGGTGGGTCATTAACCCAGTGAGTATCTGCTTAGATGAAACAGAAAGTACAAACAGACACGTAGAGGATAAGAAGATGTGAAATTGGACACAGATTATAGTAATTTTTATAAGCCAAGGCATACCAAAGATGGCTGGCAGCCATCAAAAGCTAGGAGAGGCACAGAACAAATTCTTACTTAGAGCTTCTGAAAAGAATAAACCTTGCCAACATCTTAATTTTGGATTTCAGCCTCCAGGCTATGAGAAAATAAATTTCTCTTCTTGTTAGCCAGTGAATTTATAGTATCCTGTTACAGCAGCTCTAGGAAACAAGTCCATAAATACCCATACAGTTCTATCCTTTCCTCCAGCCTTCTCCTTTATTTCTCAGTGGTATAACTGATACCACATTAAAAAAAAATTCAGCAAGTGGAAAGAAATAGAAAAAAATTAAATTTACTTGCTTTGCAGAATAATCTTCTGACTCAAATTCTGTCTTCTTTGAGATAAGCAGAACATACATATTTGACTAATGGCTCTGAATTTCACAAAATGTTCTTTGTGCTATTTGACCTTTTTATCTCTTTATATAATTAAGATAATTTTCAAAGATCTGTGACAGGAGAAAAAGTTACAGTATTTTTATAGGTGAGAAATGGGGCAGCTGTTTTGGAAAACATAGTTAAAAGTGTTATTGCAAGAACCAGCCACTCCTTATGCATTTTGTTTGGTATTTTCACAGCTTTTGAACTTTATTGACATATATTCATTTCAGCCTCAGTACAACTTTGGAAAGACTATAAAATGGAAATATAATGTGGCCCTTTTTTGCATGCTCACAGAAAGAAATCCTCCTACTTACTTTACTGAGGCTTTATTTATTTTTTTTAAGATTTATTTATTTGTTCATATAGAACTGGGGTACAGGCCAGAGACACGGTGGGTGAGAGGATTCACCAGAAGCAGAGTGGGGAGCAGATCAGGCAGATCGATGAAATGCACTGCTGAGGGGAGCAGCGGGAGGGTCAGGAGAGGTCTGCCCCGCCATGTGGTCACCTCCGGGGCAGGCGGGGATCGAACTCATGCAGAAGTGGCTTAAGCTTCTCAGTGCTGTGCTTTAACCCACTGCGCCACCAGGGAGGGCCTTACTGAGGCTTTATTAATAGGCAGGAAGAAAGAGCAAAAGAGGAACACATATGATCTATCCCAAATTTTCTTTATATTAGGAAAGAGTAACCCGTAACTTGAAAAGCCCTTTGCTTCATCTCATTAGCTGAATATCACATGGCACTCTTAGCTGCAAACAGAACCACTACTGCAAAGGGAATTCAAGCAGTAAAAAAGGAAGTACAGAGACAATTGATATTGATAAGCCAGTAGAGTCACAGTCTTGGGGCCTTAATGTCTATATCAATTCTTTTAAGGAGGGAGAATGGGGTTAATACTGTGTCCATTTAAAAGAGAATCTCTTCTCAGGAAGAATATATCTATCCCTTGTTCCCCCTATAGTCTATGTCTCAAAAATCTCTAGGAATAAATTTTATGCTAGAAATATCTTTGTGAGTTTGTAATTGTTCTGTGATACAACAGATTTGCCTAACATGCTGTGGAGGATAAATTACTTAATAGTCAGCAAACATTCCAAAAGAATCAATTCTTTAAGTGGGTATATGTTGGCTTTGGTTCCTGGATTGAAGGTTTCTTTGGTATGTGCCCCTTTTTTTGCAATTTTTTTTTCAGCTCCAGACTGGGTTGTTGTTGGCAGGTACTAACTGTTAGGTATTATTTGTTTACCAGAATCTAGCTACACTTACCTGTATGCTGTCTAGCTAATTATGGATGCTACAGACTATAGTTTATGGCAGCAGTTCGAGAAAAGCTTGTCAATGTGTTATCATAATTAATTAGAATTAATTCACTGTGTGAAATTCTTAGAAGTAAAAGATATTTGAATAGTATTTTAATAGAATAATGTATAAATGTGTAAGTAAGTATAGTGTGCCCACTCAGGGGAAACATTATAATATTCACAAATCCAAGCAACAAAGTACCAATCACTTTATTGCCTAAGTATTTTTTAGAGATATAATAAAAAATTCTGTTAACTGCTTTTTTTTCTCATCAGTATTACCGTGAAAGTATACTCCAATAAATATTAAACATTTATATTTATTTACACAAGTATGACATTTTTAAAGTCCTGAAATAATTTTGTCCACATAATATGTCTATAATTATTACTGGGTAAATGGAGTTTATGTAATATGAAGTATGCATTTTTAATATTAAATTGGTAATTTGTACCTAAAATTATTGTACTAAGATATGGACTTTATTCTCTTATGCAATACTGACCTCTGGAGATAGAACATTGTAAATTCACTTCTTTGAGATGACATTTTTCTCCATATTTTCTAAAGAGGTGTCTTTAAAAAGAACCTTTCTGTACAAGAATACTATTAATATAATAACATTGTCAGTCATTTCCTAGTTGATCTAATTTCACATTTCCTCAGGTTGTACATAAAAGTATATTATACAATTGGTTATTTCAAACCAAGGTCCAGTAAAGTGGCAAGTATTTCTTTCGATTTTTAAGCCCTTTCCCCCATGACACGATGTGTTGAGGAAATAAGACATTGTCATAGAATGTATTTTTTATATTCTTCTACTTACAAAATACAAATGAGATCTAAAGCCCTGATTTGGATTACAGTGAGACAGTTTTGTTAAAACTAGATATTCTTCGTGTTTTTTTTTTTAACCGTATCATAGTTTATGTCATAATAGATCACTTATTTATGATGCTAAGATGGTTCATGTAGTCTTTAGCAGACTTCTGAGTTACAAAGTAATTTTTATGGACCCTCCCTTGTGGCGCAACAGGTTAGGACAAGAACTCCAAGCTAGTGGCAGCCTCTTCAGTGCGAGTTGGAGTCCCAGGGCCCGGAGGTGACCCTCATGGCGTGGCAGACCTCTCCTGACCCGCCCACTGCTCCCCTCAGCAGTGTACATCATGGATCTGCCTGTTCTGCTCCCGCTCTGTCTCTGGTGAATCCTCTCACCGCCCCTGCTCCTCTGGCTTGTACCTCAGTTCTGTATGAATAAATAATAAAAAAATAAATCTAAAAAAAATAATAATTTTTATTTTCTTGTTACCAGAAGGTAATCTTGAGAAAGATTTTTGGTACCATTTGAGAACCAGATGCCATTAAATTTTCACATAATAGATTATGATTTTACTGAAGTTATAAAAGAAAAATATCTAATTCGGCTTGTTTTTTTTCCTGCATACATTAGCTAGAATTCACTTACAGAGAAATTTCTCCATCATCTGGTTTTATTTATCCTGAAATCTAGCTCCAACTGGAAAGACAAGATAAATGTTTAACTCCTTCCTTTTACCTATTAAAAAAAAAAAATGTATATTCAGGGTAAACTTTTTCCAGTGGTAACAAATGTTATTTTTATAAGGGAGATCAGGATTTCTCCCTTTTTTTGAGGAATATCCTTATGATCTCATAGATGTTTATTTGATCCAATTTTATATATATTCATATATATATATATGTATATATAAAAGTCAAACTTCAGCTAATTTTTTGGTTAAATTCTTGTTGCTACTTTTGGCTAGTATGTTAATATCTTTATATATCTAAAATATATAACACTTTTCTTTAGATAACATCTGTAGGTTCTTTATCTTGAGCAGCAATTAAATGTACATATTTTAGTCTTTGTGACCACTGTCCCATTTTAGCGAGTTACATAGTTTTAGATGTATCTCTTTCGATTCTATTATTCAGCTCTTCAGATTTAAATGATATCCTTTGGCATTCACCAATACAGTTATGCTGTATTTACAGACCACATTTCTGATCACATTTACAGATCATTATTCTTTCACTTTTATTCCTACCCTTGCTTTTCCTCCAAACCCAGTGGTAACCAATGGTATTCCCTTGGTTGGAAAAAGCTTGTCTTCTAATATATTATATCAGTAAAACTAGATCATGAATGTGATATTCCCTAAGTTGTTGTATATTAAACTCTTACTGTAACTTGTTCCTTGAAAGACGTCTTGGCTAGTTATAAAATTTTTGGTTCACACTGTACCAGTTCCTAGGACTACCATAACAAATTACTATAAACTAAATGGCTTAAAACAAGCTTTGTTCTCTTGAAATCTTTGAGACCAGAAGTCTCTGAAAAGCTCCAGGAAAGAATTTTTCACAGATTCTATAAACTAAATGGCTTAAAACTAAATGGCTTAAAATAAGCTTTGTTCTCTTGAAATCTTTGAGGCCAGAAGTCTCTTTGAAAGCTCCAGGAAAGAATTTTTCACAGATTCTTCCAACTTTTGATTGCTCCAGTCATTCCTTTGTGTTTATAGACATGGTACTCCAACTCATGCCTCCATCTTCATGTGACATTCTTCGTGTCTCTATATTTCTGTAAGTCTTCTTATTTATTTATTTATTTTAGAGATTTTTAAAATTTATGCATACAGAACTGGGGTACAGAACATAGGTGCAGGGCAGTGAGAAGATTCACCAGAGACAGAGTGGGGAGCAGAACAGGCAGATGAACAAAGTACACCAGTGAGGGGAGCAGCAGGAGAAGCAGGAGAGGTCTGCTGTACCATGTGAGTCACCTCTTGGGGATCAAACTCAGGGATTGAACTCATCCTGAAACGGTTGCTTTACAGTGATAAAACTAACCCATTGCACCACCAGGGCTTCTTTTTTATAAGGACACTAGTCATTGGCATTAAAACCAGTATGTAATCCAGTGTGACCTCAGTTGCATTGCAAAAACCCTATTTTCAAATAAGATCACATTCTGAAATTGCCAGGTGGACTAAATTTTCATAGAATGCTATTCAACCCACAGTATTTTCTTGGTTAATTAGTAGAAATGGTTGAGTTGGTATGCTATGTCTGTGGGCATGCATTGAGTCTTCTTGGCAAAAAAGGTAATACTTGATCTCTTTCCTTTGTAAGTGACTTGGTCTTTTTACTTGGAGTAAAGAACTTTTATCTTTAAAGTATAATAATAAAACTGTGTTATATCTCAGATTGAGTTCATTTTCTGGTCAGATGTCTGCATAATGTGTCATTTAGTGTGTACATATAGGTACTTTTATTTCAGTAACATTTGCTTGAATTGTAAGTTTAAAGCTTACTTCTGTTTCATTGTTTGATTTTTCTTTTTCAGGCACTCCTATCAATGTATGTTGACTTTTCTCTCACTGTCACATTTGTCACTTCCTGGCCTCATTTTATCTGTTTCATTTATTTTTGGTTTGCTTTTTTGCTTGCTGTGCCTTTGAAACAAGTCCATTGTCCTTCTTTGATTCAGCGCAAAATCTTCAGTAATTTTGTTCTTTTTTCCCATTTCATACTTTGCGGTTGTTTGTCTTTTCTGTTTTCTTTTTTGTTTGTCTTGTACCATTGTTTTCATTAGTTGTTGCATATTTTCAGTCTTACTGGAATATTATACCATTGCTTTCCTCTGCTATATTTAGCAATGTTCAGGTTGCCTGAGATGTTTTAAGTGTTAGTCTCTGATTTCTTGTTATATTTTTCAGTGAACATTGTAATTTTATCTTGGTTTTTCATATTTGGGCCAGTTACTGTAAGAACAGTAGGAGGGTGGTGGTAGGAAAGGAGTTTGGAGATTCTCAGTTCAGGAACTGTCTTTTCAGTTAGCTGTAGGGAGACATTATCTTAATTATTAGGCTTGGTACTTTGTTTTCATACTTCTGTCTTGTTTCATCAGGGCCTGTATCTTTTACCCCTTCTCTAAATCTCTTTTTGCTGTCTTCTGATTATCTCTCCTAGAAGATTCATTAACATTATCCAGGATAGTTCTCACGACTACACTTATGGTTCCATGTTTTCTTCATGCCACCTCATTGTTCTTTTGCTTTAGTTCCGAGGCTGTTCAGTAGTTCTCATTTTAGATGGAGCCTTTTCATTCTGAGGAGAACTCCTGGCTGACGTTATCTAAGTTTTACGAGTACTGAGAGTGTCACTTCTGTGACACTCCTGCTATACTCTCATGCTAGAATCAGCTACTACACTTATCCTGTTAATCTTTAGTATTTACCACCCTCCTTTCTCATAAATTTGTGTTTATAGCTATTCTCTGTCTCCTACTTATCTTTGAATATTAAGGATGCTTGCATTTGATCTCCAACTTGCTGTGTGTAAAATTTAGAAACAAGTGTGAGAAGAGCCCAAGAGATTGCCATAATCCTTGGAGAACTCAGAAACCCACTCTGTTAATTTTTTTGATTTTTCTTTCTGCAGCCAGGAATAAGTGGTAATGCAGCTGCTTTCACTGCTAGCCATGGTGGACTATATTTTATCCCATAGTGTGTGACTACTAGAGCAACAATCTAATTGGGATAATTCTGAGTAAGTTATTTTCTTGTATGGTTTGGTAGTCAGTGAAGAAAATTTTCAAACCAAGAAAAACATTTCAAGACATCGCAGGGGTTTCCTCACCTTCTTAAAAACATCTGTTCTATTTTGAAATCTAGAGCTTTTTATTCTTATACTCTCGGATAGAGCAGGTATGTAAATCTAACTTACTTAACTCTTTAACTGTTTTATCCTTACAAAGGTCCTTAGGAGATTGAACCAATATGCAAATGAATGAAATCATGAATATATAAGAAATAGAGGTAGTATTGGAGAAAAAAAATGTGCATTTTAAAATTTGAGTTATACAAGGTAATTGGCTGTGTTTATGTCATAGGTTGTCACAGTTTGGGAGTCAGACTGTGAGGTAAAGATTAGCATGCAGGCACTTACTGGGAAGTGCTCTTAGGATAAAATTGTGGAACTGAGAAAAGGATACATGATTAGCTGTCAGGAAAAGTTGAGTTGCACTGAAATAACACTGTGAAGATTCAGCACCACATGTAGGTAGCTCTGGAGCCTGGGGATTCTTAAAACAAGCCTATGATAATCATTTTCTCTGACTGGACAGGATTACATGGCCTTTTAAAACTTGTCTTAATGTATATATGTTTTAATGTTCTATGCATACCATTTTTACACTCAAAAAAAAACCTTTCTGTTTTGGAAAAATACAATTCTGCAAGAGAGGAAAATTTTTTTCAGTCACTTTTAATACTTGAATTCCAGTTTTAAAGTTCCATTGCTCTTAATGGATATCATGTTTGCTTTTCAGCATGGGCAATGGTAGATGGTGGATCAAATGTGAAAGCCCGCTCTTCTTACAATGAGAAGACCCCGAGGATTATTGTGTCTCGATCTCATTCAGGAATGGTCAAGCAGGTTGCTCTTCAGACTTTCGGAAACCAAACTGTGATCATCCCAGCTGGTGGTGCTGGTATGTTCCTTTTTCCCTGTATTGCTTTGAAATGTGTTCCCAGAAACACATTTAGTTGTGTCCCATGCTTGGGAAGAAAGTGAGAATGGGCAGTATTGTGTCAAAACATATTTAGTCTCCACCTTGTTAACCTGTAGGTTGAGATTTCAGTCACAAATGCCTTCTGTTAAAGTACTCCCATAGCAGTAATTTATTTTCCTCAAAATACAGCAAAAGCATCTTCCTGTCGATGTAATAGGAATGATTGTTTTTATGTGATATGACTTCAAAATAATTGCCCTGATTAAATGTATGAGTACCAGGGATAGAAGGTACCATTAAACACATTAAGATGCTTCATATAGCAGAAAATGTCATAATCATTTTAAGTGCTATTAGATTAGCTAATTCCTGGGTCATTTAATACCCCTGAAGACCTCAGCACACATGTCTGGGATGAGACAAAGACTCTAGTTACTATCCAATTTAGTATTAATATTATATTACCTCTGGTATAGATTAGTGATCAACTGACTTTGCTGAAAGGCAATATAGTAAATAAATATAGTAGGGTTGTGATACATGTGGTTTCTATTACATACTACCATTTGATTTTTTTTTTTTAATTACTTTAATAATGCTATGTCCGGGCCCTCCCTGGTGGCGCAGCGGGTTAAAGCACAGCACTGAGAAGCTAAAGCCACTTCCACATGAGTTCGATTCCCGCCTGCCCTGGAGGTGACTACATGGTATGGCAGACCTCTCCTGACCCACCTGCTGCTCCCCTCAGCAGTATACTTCATCGATCTGCCTGTTCTGCTCCCCACTCTGTCTCTGGTGAAGCCTCTCACTGCCCCTGAGCCTCTGGCCTATACCCCAGTTCTGTATGTACAAATAAATAAATCTTTAAAAAAAAAAAAAAGCTATGTCCTGGATTTGGCTCATGGGCCACATGCTCATCCTTATCTTGAATGTTATGTAACATATAAGACAGAATTTTTTTTTTTTTTTAAAGATTTATTCATACAGAACTGGGATACAGGCCAGAAATGCGGAGGGTGAGAGGATGCACTAGGGACAGAGTGGGGAGCAGAACAGGCAGATCGATGAAGTACACTGCTGAGGGGAGCAGCAGGCGGGTCAGGAGAGGTCTGCCACGCCATGTGGTCACCTCCGGGGCAGGTGGAGATGGAACTCATGTGGAAGTGGCTTAAGCTTCTTAGTGTAGTGCTTTAACCTGCTGCGCCACCAGGGAGGGCCCCGACAGAAATATTTTAATATAAAAAAAAAAATATGGTCAGAAACTTTTGTGTTAAAAAAAAAATGTTTTCTCACAAAAATAAAGGGAGATGTACGATTTATTAACTTTAAATCTAGTAGTTTTACCTTGCTTCATTGTTTTCTTATAGGCACTCAGTAAGGTTGGTTAGTAAAGTAATATCTACAGGAATGAGATAGCCAGATTCTAAACCTACTTTCTCTGCATATGTTCTATTTTTTAAACACTGCTACATTACAAAAGGAACTTAAAATAGTGTTGAGAGCTTCTACATATCCTATACTATCATTTTTAACAATATACTCCAAAAAGTAAGGTACTTTCTTTAAATCTTTCAGTAGTAACCTCAGTTCTGTGTTCATCTTTCAGGTTATAAAGTTTTAGCATTATTGGATGTGCCTGATAAGAATCAAGAAAAAGCTGATCTCTATATCCATGTGACATACATCAAAAAATGGGATATATGTGCTGGCAATGCCATTTTAAAAGCCCTTGGGGGGCACATGACTACCTTGAATGGTGAAGAAATCAGTTATACCGGCTCTGATGGCATTGAAGGGGGACTTCTTGCTAGCATCAGGATGAACCACCAAGGAGTAATCAGAAAACTGCCAGATCTAGAGAAGACGGGACATAAGTAAGCAAAGCCGATTACAGATCACAGCTCTTCCAGAGCTTAACAGTCTGCCTGAAATGCTGGAAGCTTCAATGCATCGGCGGAGACTATGCATAGTTAAGGCCATCTCGAACTTTTTAAAGTATTTATGAAACATCAGAGACTTATTTTCCCTGTAATAAGGATGCAAGGTCAGGGAAAATGGGTTGCTTCGTGTTTCAAGTATTGTCTTTATTTTTGAGACTATTTTCGTACTGTTGTCATACACAAGGCGCAAATATATATATTTGTGAATTAAAATCTATAGCTGAGTCTACATTGTTATGAGTCACCATTATCACACATCATGGATCTTCACATTTTGTTAGTATTTTCTTAGAGAATTGGGCTAAAGAAGGGATTGATTTTGTGTAGATATTTAGTGTTACTTTATGATTATTTCTCATTGAAAATAAAGTAAATGGGGGTTTTTAACCCTTAATTTAGATGGAAAGCACAAGAAGTCACACATTCATTAATATGCAACAAATGCTCTATTTAGCTGTTACTGAATATTTCCTAAAGATTAAAATAGAAAAAGCTTAATTTTTTTTCCTTTAGAATTTTAATAACAGGTTCACCAGCTAGTAGAGAATATAGATACATAATTGTTACACTGTAATTGTAATTGCTATGTGTGTGTTTTGTTCTGTTTATAATGAAAAATGTGTTTGTATATGGGTTCAACATTTTTGTCATCTTACTATTGATTTTCGTTTGCCCTATGAATAATGCATGTCTCCATCCTTTCCCTCTTGACCAAAATTTAGTCTTTACCTTATGATGTCTGGATTAAGGATTCAAGGTTAGCAGTAGGATTTGGGTACATTTTCTCACTAGGATTAAAATATTCTGCAAGGCACTATAAGAGTATAATTGATCTGCTGTTGAAAGTTATTTGACATTACCTGAATTAAGCTACCTTTTGTTTTCAAAGACTTTTAGTACTTTTTTAAAAATCTGCCAGGTTTGTATATAGGGATTCTCCTTTTCAAGAATAAGTTATGGTTGCTGTTATTATTAATAAATGTATCTAACCAAACTCTGCTTTATAGTTTCCCTTAAGGTTAAAATAATGAATGTTAGAGTTACTTTCTGAAGCAACTTTTTTTATGTCCAATATACAGAATCTGATTGGGAGAGTAGTTGTGTCATATTCACTTTCACAGTAATTAGAACCTTATTTGTGAGCTGTTTGTCACTGGATTGTCTGATAGCTCTGAATGTGTTATCTACAAACTTACAAATAGTACCATTATTTCATGTGACATGGATTTCCCTGTATTTCATTAACACTGTTAGGAGGGAAATTGTCATAGTTTCATGGGTTCTTTTTTATTTTAAGTTTTCTACTCTAAAGCAACTTTCCACTTAATTTCTTATTGTAGAGGTAAAAATATCGGGGAGCAGATATACTCACCGGTGAAATATGCATACAACTCTGGGTTCCCAGGTTTCCACATTATATTGTCCAAAACCACCTAATTCTCATTAAGGAACTGGCTCTAATAAAAACATGTTCACGTCTTACTTCCATCTAGTCTCTAGCATCTGGCACAACTCTGATAGTGTATATTACTCAGTGTGTAGATTTTTGTTTACTGGAATTCATAGTTTTAGAAGTTGGCACGCATGATATTTAAACACTTTGCAATCCAGAACAGAATATTGGAGACCTGATCTTTGTACTTTGCAATGAACTGAGGCAATCTTATTTGTGAGAAGATAGTTGAAGCATACATTGCTTCCAGATTCCTGTGGGGAAGCATTTGTTTTCAGAGTAATGTGTCAAACTTAAGGAAATAGGACTGATATGGTAGGAAGTGCAGGTTTTTGTTAATTTTATGTAGACACTTATTTAATGGAAATGAAACATTCATATTAACAGGCATGACTGCTCTGGCTTTCTTTTTCATTAATTTGCATGTGTAGATGAAGGAAGGATTTGTGTTAAGTATACAATTTAAGATACTGATTGACAGGTACATTATTTTTATAATTTGTTGGCTATAGTCTAATTGATTTTCAGTACTTTGATAGAAAGTGCACTTTTTGTTTCTAAAATCAGTATACATTTCAAAACTACTATAAGTATATGAGAATATTTATATTGATTTTTATGATACATTGTTGGGCCAGAACATACCAGTAAAACACATTATGAATAAGTAAGTCATGTAATTTCTCTTAGAAATTACATAAAATAAAAATTATTTCTAAAATTGAACAAAGTAACTAGAGTACTTTTAATGACCCCCCCCAACCATCTCCTCAATTACTAGACTTCCCCTTCTCTTATGTTGCCCTTATTTAGAGGATAATTGTCCCTTAACACTGAGTTCCATGTACCACATTTAGTAAATGTAGCAACATTAATAGCCCTCAGTATCCATGAGCTGTTTCCTTCCTCTGCCACTCTACTCTGTTTCCTGTCTCCCTGGGCTGTTAACTGTTAATGTTTTAATTTCTGTTCCTCTTAATAGCATACTCTTCCCCAACACTCCTGAATTCTTTCATAAACCTATTTTCCTCAGGATTAGCTGCTAAAATCCTATGAGTCTAATGTAAAGTTCCCAGTGGGGACAGTCAATGCTGGCTGGAATCCCCTAAAAACACAAAGGAAAAATCACCATTTAACCATAAAGGTTTACATTGTCAAGCCCAACCCGATGCCTCTGTCATTACAAAGCATTTCTTTTGATTCCGAAGAAGAAGAAAATGCAAAAAATACAAGAGTCAGATGTATGATAAGCCTATTTAGGAATCTTGCATTTTTCTGTTAGTTTGCACACTGGTGTGGTGAACATTACAAAAAGCCTGCAAAGTTCTATATGTATTTTCTGTCATTATTACAGTTGAGATTCAGAGGCCCACATACTTGTTTCTGGTATACAATTGTCCCCTTACGCCACTTCCCCTCCCCCCCCTTTAAAGTGAATACTTAAATTGTTTATGGCTGTTAATGAAGTACACAATTGTTTGAAGTAACAATTGTTCAAATCCTTCCTGTTTATTGAATGCCCTTTGATATTGCTGGAACTAGGTCAGAGGAAGTGGGGAGAATAGCTAAGAAAAGACTGGATGAATGATAAAGTGTGAAAGGCAGCTGAGGGAAGAGACAAAGCAGACATCACTGAGCCTTAGGATCATGAACTCTGCTTTTGTCTCAGTTAATTCAAATCATGGGTTTCATTAGCAAGTAGTAACTATCCTTTGTACCCTAAGCATAAGTAAAGAATGCTGGAGTGCCACTCCTTATTTGTGAGGGGAAAAAATGCAGCTTGTGTTTCTTGATAGAAACACTTTGAAAATGGCTTTATAGAGAAGTTATTGACAGTTTAAAAACAGAAGTATTTGGAATATTCATTACAACTTAATACTGGGTATGTATTAATTAGTCCTGGATAGAAATAACAGTCTCATTTTAAACCTTTGTTGAATTTATACATAGTTATTTTTAATATATGTCTACAAAATGTCTTACAACATGTAAAATAAGCCTATGTTTTTGCTTTTAATCCAAAAAATAAGTTGTGCCTTAGTGGGCCATTATATGTTAATAAGGAAAGACAAAAACTTTTTTTAATAGGTGAGGAAAATAGGAACATTTTCATTAAAATTTTAAGTTCTTTCAATGTTTTTAAAATTATAGTTGGGGAAACTTCGTTAAAGTTGATATAAAATTATTTTTGCATAATTAGCATTTACAACAAAATACATTTTTATAAGAACTGGCATTTTGATGTATATAAATCTGAAATGATACTTCATCCTTTATTTTATAATATAAGTCTAGGATAGATTACATTGTTAAAAATTTTACTTTCACATTATTTCAGTGTGCTTTACTGTAACCTGTTCTCCTTGTCCTCTGAGTCACTTTGGCTTTAAAACAAAACTTCCTGGTACCCTATCAATGATTTCCTTAAAATATATATACCTGTATATTGTATGGTATATAACAGCAAACTAGAACAGTTTCTAGCAGGGAGTAGTTCTCATTAGCAGTAACTGACAGGAAGAAATATATTTTGTACTTAAGAAGGTTTTGGTTTTATGAGATTCTGGTTATATATATTGTTTTTATTTTTATTTCATCAAAGGCTGGCAAGTGTTTGCATCCCAGTTTATCACCTTAAAGGAAATGTTCTTTAAAAAAATTGCTTTAAATGTTGAGTGATGAATAATTCTGTGGGAAAAATGAGTAGTTTCCCTTGAGATAATATAAGCCAAACTTTTAGAAGTTAAGGATTATGAGTAAATAACAACTTGTTATGTATTGTGTTTGTAAGGGTTCCCTAAAATATGATCACTGTTAATTTGTGTAAATTGCAAAAACAAACTGTTGTTTGATTTGTAGTATGTTTCATTAAATTTCTTTTTGAGGTATGTATTATAAACATAGTAAACTTTTATTCAGGAAAGACTTGTTCATCCTGTATTTTGTTTTAAAAAGAAGGTACATTATACCAAATCATCATTAGATCAATTAGCCTAGAAAAATAACATCTCACTTCCCCAAATTATCTTGTCTAACCCTCTTTGTTATTCATATTACATAAAGGAAGGGACCCTTCAGGACTTAAATTTATGTGTAAAATATGGACTTTAATTTCCATGTACCCTTACTATCCACCGTTGTCGGTAGCCAACACTAGCTTTATGATCTTACAGGAGAGACCGAGATCTACCTGGTGAACTGTGGTGCTGTTGGTGGGGATGGTATTTAAGCTGATAAATGTTAGGTAGACACACTGTGTTTATATTAACTGAAATTGTGTTTCTTGTCTGTCTCTGCATCTTCAAGCTTTGTTTTTATTATTATTGCCTCTTATTAATCTCTTACAACAGGCTAATGAAAGGGATTAAAATTGAGTGGTTTACCTTTGAATACCCCTTTCTCCTCCACACATTTAAAACTGAGGGGAACTAAGCCATTTCCTGTTGCCAAGACATGCTTAGACACCTGTTTCCCTTACTTCAAATGCTTTAATCTTCCCCACCATCAATTTCAAAGAGGTTCTGACTTCAGCCTTTGTTCACAAGTAAGTTCAATTGTTTGCCTTCCATGTTTTTAAATAAATGTGTGTTTTTATCTATAGCACTCATTTTTGTATGTGCTATTACTTGTAAACTTCTTAAAGACAGGTACAAGGTCTTAGTGACACTTGAATTTCCATCTCAACCCCAGCGCTTGCCCAGTGTCTTGATCAGATTAGGTGCTTAATGTATGTTGAACTAAATGGAATAAAGGATTGCTACTCGCATCAGCATTTC